TGTTTCCCTCTTCCTTCTCTTAATTCTCTTCAAGTCATTATCAATATTTATAAAACATCTATGAGTATATGAAGTTTAATAAATTCGATTTCTTCATTTTCACAACAAGTAGATAAGCGCGCGCACAGATCTAGTAATTGTATTGTCACAAGCTTCTTGTGACGAATTACGTTAAAAATAAAATGAAATAAATAGTTATTCTAATTTGTTGGAGTAGGTGGCTCCGCACGGAGAGAAATGTTTAGTAAAAATTACGGAACTCACAATTCGCTAATCGACTCAAAAAATTTAAGTGACGGTATCGTAATTTTTCACTGGAGATTCAGATAAAAATTACGGAACACTCTGAAAAAATTCCGTGACAGTTCCGCAAAATTGGGGAAATTGTAGGAAATTACAAATTTTTTTTTTGAATGGTCGAGGGATGACGTTCAAAACATATAGGAAATTTTGAAATTTCAAAATTTTTTTTTCAAGGCAAAATTGAATGGGAAATTTCGCATTTGAATTTGGCGTTAGAGTTTCATGAGTTTCAACGTTCGGAAAATGGACGAACGTTGAACTAGCTTTTGTTAAATTGTTGATTTAAAAATTGTGTGGAACAACAATTACGAGCCAGTTTTTCGGAATTCGACTCCTACACAACTGATTTCGGTTTTTTCCACATAAATAAATTCACCATTTGTGTAAAAAAATACGAAAAAAGCAAATTTAGCCACGTAAGAGGCGAATTAAAAAAAAACTAGCTCGTAGTTGTTATTCCACATATTTTTCCGAAAATTGTGGAAAAAAAAATCCTTCGTAGCTCAAAAATTCGAGGCCCTGGACTGTTTTTGGCATTTTAAGTGTTTTCGGGCAAACGAACAATGAAAAAATTTTTTTTGAACTAATTATCCGTTTTCAGATCTATATAATTGATCTTCAACGTATGAAAAGTCTCACTCCAATAACCCACGACTTTTAAAACTCATAGTAGTCTCCCCTTGAGAAGCGAAAAAAATAGGGGTTTTTCAAAGAAAAAAAGGACACTTCATTCTTGCTCTAGTGAAAAAGTCGCTCGTGTGTTAGTGAAACTTCATGAATGACTCTGGGATCAGTGTAACGTATTCGTGTGATGGTTGACATAGTCACAGGTGTGAAAAAATAGCCCGACCGCGGGGCGGGGGGGAGTAGCCGCGGCGCCGGCGCCGACCACCCTCGTTTTCCGCTTAAAATTCTTTACCTGCTCGCGCCCCCCAGACTCTTCTTTTCACCTTTTACGATCAACTGCCGTCAGTTCATCCGCAGCCTTATCCATTCCCTCGATTTACCCGCATAAAAAACAGGTGAAATAAAGATTCATAATGCCAGTAAAACCATTAAAATTCCTATTTCACTCATAAAAATCAAATTTTTCGGATAAACAAAATGAGAAAAAAATTCATGGAAATAAAATGGAAAATACTTCCTTCAAATTTTTGAAAATTAATCAAAATCGAGAAGATGACGTATATTTCAATGGATTTAGTGGAATTATTTCGTCGATTTCCTGTATTTATTTTTATTTTTATAAAATAATCAATTTAAAAAAATTGAAAGACTTGGGGAATTTTGGGAAATAGTTTCGAAAAGGGAAAAATGAATTTCGAGCATGTCTGGAGATAAAAAGAAATGACATAAAGATACAAAACGTATTTAAGACCGTTAAAATTCCTATTTCACTCATCAAAATCCAATTTTTCTCATAAACAAAATAAGAAAAAAAATCCAGTAAATAAAATAATGAAAACTTTCCCCAAATTTTTCAAAATGAAGTAAAATCGCAAAGACGATATATATTTCAAAAAATTTAGTGAAATTGTTTCATTAATTCCCCTTATAATTTTTTTGTAAATTAATAGTTTAAAAAAAAATTAATGGCTAGAGGAATTTCGTAAAATGATTCTGAAGAAGGAAAAAATTTCCGCATAAAACAGGGGAAATAAAGACTCAAAACCTAATTAATACCATTTAAATTCCCATTTCACCCATCAAAATGCGATTTTTCTCAACAAAACTAAGAAAACAAAGAAATTGACAAAAAAATTATTTTTCCAAATTTTTGAAAATTAATAAAAATTCAGAAGACGCTATATTTTCAAAAAAAAATGTAATACCAAATTTTTTCCGTCAATCCCCTCGATTAATTTTCTCCTCAATTCCTTTGATTAATTTTCTTATTAATTAGTTAATTAAGAAAATTTAAATGACAAGTGAAATTTTGGGAAATAATTGTGACGAATGAAAAAAAAAAATTGGAATATGTCTGGAGGATCTCAGAAATAAGGATTTGAAACGTAATGAAAATAATACAAACTAAAAAAAATAAATAAAATATAAAAAAATTTTTTTTTCCAAATTTCTGAAAATTAATAAAAATTTAGAAGACGCTATATTTTTCAAAAAAATGTAATACCAAGATTTTTCCATCAATTCCCTCGATTAATTTTCTCCTCAATTCCTTTGATTAATTTTCTTATTAATTAGTTAATTAAGAAAATTTAAATGACAAGTGAAATTTTGGGAAATAATTTTGATGAATGAAAAAATAAATTTGGAATATGTCTGGAGTCTCTCAGAAATAAAGATTTGAAACGTAATTGAAATAATACAAACTAAAAAAAATAAATAAAATGTAAAAAAAAATATTTTTCCAAATTTCTGAAAATTGATAAAAATCCAGAAGACGCTATATTTTCAAAAAAAATGTAATACCAAGATTTTTCCATCAATCCCCTCGATTAATTTTCTCCTCAATTCCCTTGATTAATTTCCTTATCAATTAGTTAATTAAGAAAATTTACATGACGACTGAAATTTTGGAAAATAGTTCTGAGGCATGCAAAAATGAATTTCGAGTATGTCCGGAGTGTCTGACCCTCACGAACCGATACTACTCGCTATTTCGCGTATAATAATGCATAAGAGGGCGGAGACAGGGACGCCGGTTAGAATCGCGGTGGCCACGCCTTCCGTTTTCGTAGCGGGGCAGATGCCCGTAGTGGGGCGAAAATCAGCCCCGCGGAACAGTTCGCTCAAGTGTGGGGTTTTCAGAGAAGGGGCAACAAAATATAAGGAACACAAACGAATGATAGAGTACAATAGCGGGGTGGGGGTAATGTTGCCAGAATAATTGACAATGAACATGGAAAATAAAGCATAACATTAAATTCATCAATTTCTCTTGATAAAATCAATAATTTAATTTATAAAAAGCCCTTTCATACTCTTAATTCGCATTAAAATATCACAATATTTATTGAAAATATGAAAAGATGAAGGAAAACGCAATATTATCCAAAAAAATGTAATACCAAAAGTTTAAATTAAAAACAACAACAATTAAACTTAATTTTTGAAAAAAAAATTGATTTCAAGAAATGAAAAATTGAGTAATAAAGAATTTAGTGAACATAATTTTATTATTAATAATAATAATAATGGATAATTTTTTAAATAATTTTTGTGCATTGCAATTTATAATAGGAATTGAAATAATGCCATTTATTAATGAAAAATTGATGATTATTTGGTCCACAATAGGCAATTTTTAACCCAAAAAATCTGTAAAAATTTAAAAAATATTTTTTAAAAATTGATCATTACAAAAAAAATATTAATCATGATTTTAATTTTTTAATGAAAACAATGTTCCACAGAAATACAAAACTATGGGATATTAGATAAAAAATATAGAACAATATTTAATGCAAAAAAATCGCGAAAAGAGAAAAATAAAAAGAATTATCATTAAAGAAAAAATAATCACGATTTTAATTTGTTAACTGAAAAAATATTTCATACCAATACAAAACAATTGGATATTAGATGATAAATACAGGACAATGTTTAACGCAAAAAAAAGCAGTAAATGAAATTTTTTTTAAAAATAATTTTAAAAAAAATTAATACTGATTTAAATTTGTTAATAAAAAAAAAAATTCCCCACAAATACTAAAAGTAGGGGATACAGTTCTCCCTCTCGCTCGGTATAAAACGAAGACAGAGCGCCAATAAATTGGTGGGAGGTAAGGGAAAAGCGCGCGCAGTGTGTTAGCCCTACCATCGGGACATTTACTCGGATATGAGGATGGAGAGGGGCGTCGCGACGACGGGCCCCCAGAGCTGGTCCGTCCGTCGTCCGGCCGACTCGAGGGGCTAAATCGCCCATCGCAATAGCGCGCATTATAATCATTACGATAATAATTCATAACAATAATCAATAACTAAAAAAATCGTCAACGGTAACAAGTGCGGGATAAATGCATAGCAACTAACAATTTGTGTGGAATAAACGATAAATCGTGCTGTTGATTTTCCGAGTAAAAATCGCCATGTGAAGTGTGCAAAACCAATGTTACCCAGCAATTATTCGCTATCGAAAATTGTGCGCGTGAAACACTAGATTGTGACGACAACTGATCGCGATTAATCCGCAAATCAATCAATCAATCAATCAATCGTAATGAGAGTGAATAATTAATAATAATCAAGTCAGCGGAAGCAACTTAATTCAACTGATTTTTGGGAATATTATTTCGGTGCTTTGACACGTGACAGATGCCCCCCCCCCCCCAGTGCACGTCTAGAGGACTNCCCCCCCCCCTCCAGTGCACGTCTAGAGGACTGATGCGTTAATTTATGGAGTTTACTGAATTGTCAAGTGGATTAATTCATAATTCATCACGCATGGAATTCAGGGACGAGTGGAATTATTGGGGGGTGGTGTTGCACCTTCGTGACAGTGATTTCATTGTGTCAAAACCGTACAAGTGATTTTTTTTTTCTCACATTACTCGCTGGAGACTCGGCTGTGACAATGGGAACAGTTGATCCGTGAAACGGTTTTTGAAAATTGGTGGAATATTTTTTTTTTCTTTTCGGGGGGTGGGAGGGGACGACGTGCCGACGGTAGAATTATTTAACGGGGGGGGCGAGAGGTTGCGAGAATTTTGGGGGACATAGAGACACTGGTTGGAGGGATGTCGAGGAGAAAACAGGCACGACCCAGCCGTGCCAATCTTGAGGAGGAGGGGGGCGTGAGGAATAATCCACTGGAGTGCAGTGAGGAGACACCGCGTAAGTTTTGTTTATTGATATTTTTGGGTGAGTGAGGGGGCGGCGGAGGGTTTAGGGGGTCAGGGGGTGGGTCGGGAGATTGGCGATCCCGGGGGGTGGTGTTGAATTCATTTTCTAGGGGGGCTTCGGGAGATTTTGGGGGGAAATGGGAGATGATGGGATTTTGGTTTCGCGGTTTTGGAGGGGGTTGGGGGGTGACCAGGTGATTTTGGAGAATTTGTATGGCTGTTGGGGGGATAGGTCGCACCGGGGAGGTTCCAAAATTATTGGGAACAATCGAAATTTTGATATTTTTGGTGATATGTTTAAGGATTTTTTTGGGAGAGTGAGGGGGAGGCGAGGGGTTGGGGGGGTCAGGGGGTGGATCGGGAGATTGGCGATCCCGGGGGGTGGTGTTGAACTCATTTTCTAGGGGGGGTTCGGGAGATTTTGGGGGGAAATGGGAGGTGATGGGGAGATGTGGGAGATTTTGGGGGGAAATGGGAGATGATGGGATTTTGGTTTCGCGGTTTTGGAGGGGGTTGGGGGGTGACCAGGTGATTTTGGAGAATTTGTATGGCTGTTGGGGAGGATAGGTCGCACCGGGGAGGTTCCAAAGTTATTGGGAACAATCGAAATTTTGATATTTTTGGTGATATGTTTAAGGATTTTTTTGGGAGAGTGAGGGGGAGGCGAGGGGTTGGGGGGGTCAGGGGGTGGATCGGGAGATTGGCGACCCCGGGGGGTGGTGTTGAACTCATTTTAGAGGGGGGATTCGGGAGATTTTGGGGGGAAATGGGAGATGATGGGATTTTGGTTTCGCGGTTTTGGAGGGGGTTGGGGGGTGACCAGGTGATTTTGGAGAATTTGTATGGCTGTTGGGGGGATAGGTCGCACCGGGGAGGTTCCAAAATTATTGGGAACAATCGAAATTTTGATATTTTTGGTGATATGTTTAAGGATTTTTTTGGGAGAGTGAGGGGGAGGCGAGGGGTTGGGGGGGTCAGGGGGTGGATCGGGAGATTGGCGACCCCGGGGGGTGGTGTTGAACTCATTTTAGAGGGGGGATTCGGGAGATTTTGGGGGGAAATGGGAGATGATGGGGATTTTGGTTTCGCGGTTTTGAAGGGGGTTGGGGGGTGACCAAATAATTTTGAAGAATTTGTATGGCTGACGGGTGGGATAGGTCACACCGAGGGGGTTCTAAAATTATTGGGAAAAATCGATATTTTGAAATTTTGATATTTTTGGTGATATGTTTAGGGATTTTTTTGGGAAGAGTGATGGGATGGTGATGGTTTGAGGGGGCCAGGGGGGTGGGTCGGGAGATTGGCGATCCCAGGAACTAGTGTTGAACCCATTTTTGGGGGACGGAGTGTTCAGGAGATTTTTGGGGAAATAGGAGATGATAGAAAGATTTAGTTTCGCGGTTTTGGAGGGGACGTTAAGGGGATTTGGGAGGATGACCAGGTGATTTCGGGGTAGAATTTTCTTGGCTGACGGCTGGGATGGGTCTCACCAAAAAGTTTCCACAATTAATGAAAAAAAAAACAAAAATTTAGAAATTTTGAAAAATTGTTTTTTGTTTTCTGTCGGAAAGTCAGAGAAATTGTTAAAAATGGTGGATGTGGGAGTGATTGAAATTTCCGGTTTGATTCTTTTTATGAGGAGCGAAGGAATTCAATTTTTGTGATGAAGAATTCCGTCTTTACATACCACAGGCCCTAATGCCTCTGAAAATCATTAATTAATGGTACGAACAGTAGTCAAAGCCCTTCGACTAATATATTTCAGGCAATTTGTCGAAATTCCCGTTTGTCCAATCAGATAAACGACATTTCATCACTGAAAAATTTAAAAATTGGAGATACAAATAATCAAAAAGTTATCGCTTTATTCCACTTAACCCCGGGCGGAGCTCGATAGACTGTATCGAAACACGTATCTTTATCTCCCGGGATTATTGACCATCGGCGGAGGCATTCCCAGCGTCATTGAGTGCGTTATCCGGCGGCAGTAAACTCCCAACAAATTCAATATCAAATTTATTGAACATTTGGGGGGGGAAATACGTTTTATTATTACACACGGGGCACATGATTATTCGCAATTTGTAACAAGAAACACGAGGGTTTTTTTTTATGGCGACATTGAGATCAATTTTGAGGCTTTTTGATCTCGCAAATTGTTGAGTTGAATGGACAATGAATGAAAGTAATGGAGTGGATCAACGTTGATTGTCAATTATTGACATTGTTGGATATCATGGATAAAATGTGTGTTTGGTTGAATGCACTAATGAGAAATTTTGAATACTTGTAGAATTTTGACATCCCAACGAATAACAGTTGAGGTTCGTTGAATCGATAAATTTCAGTTGTGTTACGTTCTGTCGTTTTTTGAAGTAAAGAAAGCTCTGAAATTGTTTGTGAACCCATTTGATTGCAGGGACTGTCCACTTGAATATTCTTAAGGACATCCGAGTGGGAAAGACCCTGCAATAGACTTGTTCCTGACAAAATTATACTTTCGAGCGTTTTTAGTGTGACAAATATCAAATTCTACTCGACTGGGATTGATCAAGATCAGTTGAATGTACCACAACCGAAAATAATCGATTGAATCAACATTAACTGTCAATTGTCGACATTGTTAAATATCACTGACGAATTCAGTCTACAAACGTTTTTCAAGTCACACTTTTCATCCCATTTCAATGCACTCGGGCTCAATTTGTTCGTTGGGACATTTTCTATCAACTTCCCGGAGGATTCATTCGGATAAATACACTAATGATAAATTATGACCATTTGTTTAAAAGCTGATTGGTTTTGTCGTGTGGAAATGCAACTATGAAAATAAAACTACAAAAAACAATTCAATAGAGAATGTTCCAACGAACGAAATGAGCCAAATTGCATTGAAATCGGATGAAAACTGTGACTTGAAAAAACGTTTATAGACAGAATTTTTAGTAGTATTTTGACATCCCAACGAGTGACAGTTGATGTTCATTGAATCGATGAATTTCAGTTGTGTTACATTCTGGCGATTTTTGAAGTAAAGAAAGCTCTGAAATTGTTTGTGAACCCATTTGATTGCAGGGACTGTCCACTCGAATATTCTTAAGGACTTCCGAGTGGGACAGTCCCTGTAATAGACTTGTTCCTGACAAAATTACTAGTTGAGACATTTTCTATCAACTTCCCGGAGGATTCAGTCAGATAAATACACTAATGAAAAATTAAAACCATTTGTCTAAAAGTTCATTGATTTAATCATCCGAAAATGAAACTACAAAAAAATGATTAAATTATACTCAAACGTCCCAACGAACGTCACATTCACCGAATCAACGAATTTCAATAACGTTATCCTTGCGAAAATACTCTCGAGCTCATCTCCTCGCAGGGACTCACTCGGATATCCTCCAACTAATGAATATGACGATAAAAAGATATCCTTTATCCCCGAATAAATACGTTTAGGATTGAATATCATTAATCCGAATTATTGTGAATTGAGTCGTCTCCTCCCCTTCCCCCTCTCCGTCCCACGCCATCGCCACCTCGAGTCTCTCACTCTCTCGCTCTCTCCCTCTCTCGCCCCATCACTCACTCTTTTATTTATTCATTCTAATGGCCATAAAAGAAAACGGAAAAATGAATAAAAAAAGCGGCGGAGTGAATTTCTAATACATATCACGTGAGTTATGACCTCATAATATTCCTTGAGTGACCATCTTGATATCTGATGTCCCCTACCAATATCCGCCGGCTTCCAAATGCCAGAGATATAAATAAAGGTTAAACACACAGATATTTTTTACGTTTATTCGGATTTTTTTTTAATATGCTTTTGTGGGTATATTTCTTTTTTACGGCACGATGACTGTGTGATATTTTTTTATTATTTAATGACAGTGAAGATCTGAGGAATTATCTTTTTTTCCTCGATTCTTGAGGAATTCGAGAATGCGTGGAGATAAATTTCGTGGGATGAAATTTTGAGGTTGAAGAACAATGCGCCGATGTGGTTCAATGAAATGTTCAACTGATATTCAACAATGTCAACAGTTGACAGTTAATGTTCAGTTGTGGTACATTCAGCTGATCTTGATCAATCCTAGTCGAGTAGAATGTGATATTTGTCGCATTAAAAAAGCTCGAAAATGTAATTTTGTCAGGGACAGGTCTATTGCAGGGACTGTCCCAGCCGGACGTCCTTAAGAATATTCAAGTGGGACAGTCCCCGCGATCAAATGGGTTTACAAAAAATTTCAGGGCTTTCTTTACTTCAAAAATCGACAGAACGTAACACAACTGAAATTCGTTGGGATGTCAAAGTACTCCTAAAATCTTTGTCTAAACATCTTTTCAACTCATAGTTTGCCAACTCATTTCGTTCGCTGGAACATTTTCCACTGCAGTTTAATTCCCACAAAACAAAATGAACGAACTTTGAAACAAATTCTCAAAAAGAGGCTCAAGACCGCCTTTCGGGATCGACAATTTCCCCCGCTTTCCAATGAGATCGTTATCGCGACTGAAATTCCCCCATTTCGAAAAATAGAAATTTCTATTTCACCCACCATTCCCTCGCGTTCATCACCATTTCGTCAATGAGAAAGTTTCCACTTGATACCTTGACTCATAAATATATTTATTATTATGTGAAATGAATGATGATTAGCGATATACAACTGAAACATGTGTACAAAATCAATTGGTGGATGGGAAAAATTATGAGTATAGCGGGTTCTGGTGCGCTGTCACGGAATCGAGTCGTGACGTGCAATCGAAAAAAGGCCTGTGGACGGAATTACAACTGTATGGTCACAGTTTAGTGTCATAGGTGCAGCAGTTTATTTATAAAAAAAAAGACGAATTAGAAATGGGATACGAATGGGAGAAGGCGAATGTTAATATAAAAAATGGCATTCCAGAATTAATTTAATTCACTTCATGCACTTTGTGTTTGGTCTTGTTATTCTAATGACGAGAAGAATTTTGTGACATTAA